TATTCTAAATAAATATTCATTTTTGTAGCTAATGTTGTATTAGATTCTTTTTCTTTAAAACCTGAATCCTGTGTTTAAATCAATGTCACCCAAGTATTCATGAAAAAAAAATCTGAAGTACTGATTTTTAAGAATCTGTTATCTCTTTAAAGCCAAATTTAAGTAAATACGGTAGAATAGTCACATCATCCTCTTTCAGCATAATCTACAAAATTAAATTAAGAAGGTTAGACTACAGCCAATATTCTAAGTCATTGGTTTCTCCATTTTTCTATGATTTTTAAGAGATTAATCTGTTGATACAATGAATATTTACTAAGCAGTGAAAAGAATCTAAGAACAGTTCTGTCCAATGAACTTGCAAATCTATCCTACCAAAAAAGGAAAATATGACTTCTGAAATATAATGAATTAGAGATAGGTACATTAAGAGAAGCATAGAGTTCTCCAGAATTCTAAAGAGAGAATGATGACTGCCAACAAAGGTGATAGGAAAATCTCAAGGGGTGACAGTATTGACTTATTCATCCCCCATTCCATTATGGAAATGATTTAAAGGGCTTACAGGGACCTGTCAATACAACAAGAGAGAATACATTGAAAGTTGGAGCAAAATGAAAAGACAAAAAAGAGGAGAATGTAACAAGGACCTAGTAAATGAAGCTAAAAGTACAATCCACAATGCCTTCTCCACTTGTCCCAAGAGGGCCTCAAATGTGGCTTTTGGCATCCAGATGAGGATATATTTATTATTTTATTCAAAATGAGCCTTGAAGTGAAGGGTTGGGGTCTGGATTGAATATAACTAAAATGAAATGATGGCAAACCTGAGAATTATGGGGGTTTCAGTGTTTCCCCCACATCGGCCAGAACCCAGTGCATTAAGCATTGGGAGATGTGGTTATTCTAACTGGCATCTTACTCTAATTAGGCCTTGGCAGTTGTGCTGTACCGTAAGTTATACCTTTCAAAGTCCAAATCAACATAATCTTTAACACATGTGATCTCCACATAGCTTCCATAGTTAGTTGCTAAAATAGAAAAATTACACCAGCTAATTCAACACTGCATAAATTAAAAGGCTATTGAGCGGGCAGCATCAAATACAACCTACACAGCCTTCTACTGCTCTGTCAGAACCCTCTCTAAGATAGTTTTCATATTTAACTGACACATTTGCTTTTCAAATCAGAAGATGTTAAGGACATAAGGAGAAAACTATAATTTCAATAAAATTTTATGCTCATATTACTGCTATAAATTATCATAATAATGCTGTTTTCATGATGATAATACATTATACTCTGAACTTTTCAGAATTTTTAGAGCATAGTGTCCAAATACACTATTCTCTAAAATTCATGCTGTTAATATAACAAATGCTAAGCAACTAGAGTACATTACTAATTATTATTTACATCATTCACACTCACATCTGACTCATACAAACACAGATGGGATCCATTCTCTTATCACAGGAGCAACACATATTAAAGAATATTCTGAAAATACAAATAAGCAGAAGGAAGAAAACAAAAGATCCCAATGTGCAATCAAAGCTGAAAACCACCAGTTTGTATCTCATTCCCCTTAGTCTGCCCCTACCCACCCACTCCCTGACTCTTGTGTACACCCTCAATCTCTGACCAGGGGCCCATGGAGGACAACCGTTGGCACACAAAAAGGACACTGATAGTATGGCAGATGCCCACTGCCAACGGTATTTTATAATGATTTTCAAGGGGTTTATGCACTCCTCACATATATTTCATTTTGATTCTTTTGCTCATCTTTATCTACATTTTTAAGTAACAGGGAATTGTGCAGATTGCAAAACAGATTACCAACTAGTTAGAGGCAGATTTAAAAAAAAAAACTACAGAGGTTGCTTGGATTAGCTAGTTTTAAGCCATAGAATAATTTTTTTTAATTAATGAAATTATAGAAATGCTATTCATATACATGATGTTCCTCAGCTTCCATTGATAAAACCTGAGTGAACTCCTGTAGCTCCGGGTGTATGTGACCTGTGGACCCACTTCCCCTTCTCATAAGCCAGTCCCTTGAGAGGCTGGGGGACCAAAACAGTCAGGGACTTGTGGAATTAGGATGTACACTCCATGCTGACTTGCCTCTGCACAGACTGATTTAAGGTGGAACAGTATACCCAACCTGCACCTCGCCTGTGTTCACATGGGATGGGGACATGTTTGGCCATGTCTAGAGGGCTGGTGAGGGAGTGGGCAAGGCTATTTACAGAGGGCTAAGGAACCTTCTGGGAAAGCTGATCATTCTAATGGAGAGCCCAGAAGGGTGGCCCAAGCATCATCAGCTGGAACCAGAGATTTTAATGCAGTACAGTGTTTGTCATTTAGGTAATTCTCCCTCAGGGTGAAGGAGCAGTGATAAAGAGCAGGTAAAACCTAGGAGGCATTTCATGCAAAATTCTGAGATATAGGAGAGCAGAAGAGAACACAGCTTTGTGGCACATATAACCCAGTGCATCACTGGCCAGGATATGAATGAAGCTTGGGCAGAACCTCAGACCAGCACAGAGAAGCAGGAGAGAACTTTAGATACCTAGGCCTGTCACCAAGAGCAGAAACCACAAGGAAATTCATTAATAGATTTTGCTACTGAAAATTTAGAAAACATATTTAAAAAACCCAGAAACAAAATGAAAAGACGTGAAAAATTAAGGACAATGTCTATGTCATACATGATCAACCAGATTAGTATCATTTCTACATAGAAAGCTATTATAAGTCAATCAGAAGATAATTATTATCCCCAAAAAGGAAAAGAACACAAACAGGGAATTCACCAAAGAATTATAAAATGGCCAAAAAGTATCTATTTATTAATGAGCAATCACTCTGGAAGTCAAAGAAATGCAACTATCTTAGATCAAAAAGCTTCAGTTTTAAAATGTATTTTATTATAGTTTTACCAATAATCTGTATATACAGGTGTATATTTGGGCTTTTGGAATCTGGCTGGATTAAAATTCCAGTTCTCTTACATACTAACTGGGGGATATTGGATAAATTATTTAGCATCCATAAACCTCTCATTTGTAAAATAGATATAACAGTACCTACATCTCAGTATTGTTGTAAGAAATGAATGAAATCCTGCATATAAAGTGCTAAACACTGTGTCTAGCACATAGTAAGAATTTAATAAATGTTTGCTAGTTTATTAGTAGCTATACTGATATATTGAGTAATTATGAGACCATCTGGCTAATCAGAAACTTGAATAAACTTACTTCTTCCATTTTTGTGAGTTACTCCAAGATCATACACACATGCACACAAGAGATAATAGACAACTGCTATTAAAGACTGGAATACTCATGCCAAAATAATGAGAACAGTTTTAACAATTATTTGGGTCTTGATCTTTAAAATGCCACTCCAAAGTATAACATGATTCTTGGCTCCATTGTTTTTCTGTTAGTAGAAAGATTTTATGTGTATTTTTAAATCATGAAGCTAAAACCAGGATAAAAGACAGATACACAACTTAAATTCAGAAAGATTAATTAGTAACTTCTTTTGGCAACCAGTAAAATGTGAAAGGTAATAAATTAGATATATTTTATAAAATATTTATGTATATGATATATGTATAGAGTTCTGTGTTAAAGTGATTCATATAAAAATTAAATTATTTGGTCATGTAATTATGCTAATAGGCTTAAGATGCTGATAATGGTTTCCAAGAAAACATTTTACAAATATACTTCTCAACATAAAAACTCTCAGTATAACATGTAATTAATTGTAGTAACAAAAGTCACCTTAAACTCCCAAACCAGAGAGAGGAAGCCTTTTGGATTTATGCTGGCAGTCACTCTCTCACAGAACAGAGCAATCACAGACTACATAAATAAAAGGGAAACAATGGAAGAAGCATCTGAAAGAGACAGAAATCACTGCACTTATATACAACATAACCTTTATGCACCAAATAATATGCTTCAGTTTTATATCATGGGAAATAAAGGGAAAGAATCAAAAGGTGAAGGGAAAGAATTGGGAAAATAGGTGAATGAAGAGAAAAATTGATCAAGGTAGATGAACATAAAAAGACAAGGGAAAGAGAGAAACTGAGTCAAAGAAAGGCAATTAAAAGGACACATTCAAACTGAACATGACACAAAAAAGAAAGAACAGAAACGAGCACATGTACAAAAAACATTCATGGGAACCAAATATGCAAAGAAAGGCATAACACAGAAACACATTTTCAAGAAGTAATACACATTTCTTGATGGAAGCTGTCAAAGACTACCAGAAGTGTTGTGTTTTTGCAACTAGAAACATACACAGAGCCATGACATCTTTGCACTGGTTCCCACAGGCTAGGTGAAATTCACCTAGTGGTTGACCCTGGCTCCAAGGCTAGAAGTCTTCCACTTCCATGCCAGACAATTAAAAATGCTACATCTTCTGCTCCATCTCCTAAAAAAGGATGCTAGAAATAATAAACAATACATCCTCTGCAGTTTTTTGACATTTCACATAGAGAACCATGAATGATTTTCCCCTTTGTTCTAAGAGACATTCCAAAATTGGCATAGACATATTTTTGTTCAAATAAATCAGTCTTACAACTGTAATTCTAACTTGAAATTGGCAAAACCTCTTTTATTTCTTATAAAAACCTTAAGTTTTAATTGTAATAAAGTGTGAATCCTTTTATAACCTGGATTTGTAAAAGGTGTCACCCACTGGGGTATTAAAAAGAGGATGTTAATGTACCAGCTTCCTTGAAACTATTTTAACAGTTTCATACAACTTACCTTCTTCCACTTTTAGACTAATAGAGAAAATCATTAAAGTTGTGTAGCAGTTCTTTTATTTAGAAAATAATCACATTCAAGTCTTACCATGGAGTAGCAATGTTTTCAATTCCTTTCCTTTCCTTTGAAGAAATAAAGTAGAGCAATCATTTATATAACCCTCTCATTATAAATCAAATCCAAGATACCGTTTGACAATGAGATGCTTTATTAAACTTGATACATTTACTATATAAGAAGTCTGTGGAAAAAAATGGGGTATCAAATTATTTTGGATCTGGATCTCTGCATTATGAAGTCTGTCCCAAAATTATCTCATCTTGCTATATCCTGTGACTATAAGCATACAGATGACCAAAGGCAGCAACCTCGTCTCCCGGCAAGACAATACAAGTTTCAACTGGCTTGTCCGTGGTATTAACAGTCCTCCTAGCAAAATAACAAGTCCCAATTCCCAACTCTATGTAGTGTCATCTCCAGGAAGGTAAGCTTTATGAAGCACCTGGGCCGGCCCTACAACTGCTTGGCATGAGGTCCTCATGGGGTCAGCCTTGGGAAGGGTATCTTCCCCTCAACCAGACAACTCTACCTGGATTATTCTGAGCCTCCTTGGAGGGGTGAGACTTCTGGAAAAAAGAAAAAAAAAGAAAGAGTGAGAGAGGAAGGGAGAAAAGGCCTGTATAATGACAGGAATGTAAAAATGATCAGATTCGGCTGCACCAATGCTAAAGGGAAGGATGAAAAAGCTGAAGAACAGCAGCTTTGCAAAGTGCTCTCCGGTATGAAAAAAACTGACCAGTGTCACTGTTTCTGACATGTCATTTGTGAAGGCCACCCATTCTCTTACCAGGCGTGGGTGTCTCTGCAATGAGGTGCCTGTGGTTGGTAAACAGTTCTGTGGATTCTTGTTCTATTGACCTTTCTTCTAGGTCTGATTCTGGGATCGTAGCACAGCCACCTAGTTGAAGGATACAAAACATATTTTAAGCAATGTGTAATGAAATCTGCCTCTCCACAGAGCAGCCACAGCTTAGGAACGTACTAATCATAAAGATAATAAATGATGTGACAACAATCTTCAGGAGTGGACCAAAAAGAATAATCTTAAATGTTTCTCTTTGGTGAAAATACTGGGAATGAGTTATTGCCCCTAAAGACATGTTCCACCGATTATGACTTGGCAACAGCACCAGCAGTGTTGTCTTTAAATTTATCCTTTTTAAAGTCAGAAAGGACAAAACCTATAGCATATATGATATCTATAATAGCCCCTCCGCAAGAATTCCCTTTAATACCAGAGCATCAGAAACCATAAAAGAAACAACTCATATGGACCACAAGGGAAAGAACCCTTCCCTGAGCAAAGGGAAAGGTTGCTAGTGTTTTGACACAGTGATTGTGGTGGTATTTCTCTGGAATTTACTTCTATCCCTGAATCCCAATACCTTACTGCACAGACACAAACACTTCATAATTCAACAGCAAAGCCATGAACTGCATTGTGAAAGATTTCAATTCAAAGGTGACTTGAGGATGAGCTGGCACCACCGTGCTTTTGAAATACTGGTTATAACTCATTTGACTTTATCCACCAAAATCTTGTATGGGAAATTCAAAATCAGGCGAGAATTTCCTGACTACATCTGCAATTTGATTTGACTAATTCGCCATCATTTCCTGGAAATGTACTAACATGTTGTATACCGTACACGTTTTTTTCCAAAGCCATTCTTCTTGTTAATGAGGTGTGATTTCTTTTTCTGAGGCTTCTCACACACTGAGTCCAAAGCCTCAATACTCAAGTTTAGTTTTATGCAGGAGGGGGTTTATGAAGCTCACATCATCCTGAGGAAAGAGAGGGTATGGGCAGTACTGATTTGAAAACCACATCATACAAACAAGAGGGAAGTGGAAAAATCCCAGGTCTGAAGGAAAATACACCTTACCATCCATCCCTCTGCATCAACTCTGAAATAGAAATTGATGCTGATGGAAATGTGAGAGAAAAGCATTTCTACCCTCATAAAATAAGAATTAGAGGTAGCCTCAAAGGTTCCCTGAACAGGAAACATCAGAATTATCTATCAGTGCAGCGGAACTCACCAGCTGTAGGTGAAAATGGCGAGGGCCCTACCCAGGAGGAGAACCAGGCTTATTTTTTAATCTTTCCAAAGCCTGTGGATCATAGTAATAAGAACTATCATTATCGAGCACTTCTAAGTGCCAGAAATTCTGCCCATATTATCTCATTTAATCCCTACATGCCACACTATGAAATAGATATTATTATTTTCATTTTACAGATAAGAAAACTGAGGTCTCATGAGATTCAGTAACTTGCCAAGGCCATACAGCTCCAGTGCTGGTCCCACAGGGGTGCTGGGACCTTGGAGAAGCCCAAGAAAGAGCCCGTTTCTTCTCCTTTACCCTCATCCAACTGAGAAAAAAGGAAAAGGATATGGGGTGGGGGGAGGTTCGTTGAGGGGAGAACGTGTAAGACTAATGACAAGGAAGAGCAGAAGGAAGAGATGTGCTTCTTGCTGAACAGAACCCTGGTCTCAAGCAAAAAGGCAGAAGAAGGGCCGGGTTTCTCATTCCCGACTCACAAATCAGATTAAGTCACTTCTCCAGCCCTGAGATGGAGGGAGGCAGGGAGCAGGGGGAGGCCAGGAATGCTGCATTCATGCAGCTACCTTCATGCACAAGAAAACTTCAGGAATGAGGAAAAGGCGTCCCCCAGCCAACAGACGGGAAAGAGTGGGATGAGCAGTTAGCAATGCTTGCCAAGTGCTTGGAAAGAGGCAGGTCCCCACTGATGAATTAGTGTCCACCTTTTATACTAGATGACTCAATATTCAGGCAAGACAGAAATAGGAAGACTTAAAAAGCACTTCCTAGTTCTTTATCATGTGGACACAAAAGGAAAATTCAGTTGCTAAAGATTATCAACAACTAACGTAAGTTCCTCTCTTCTCTTTGCCTTGCCCTGTGTACAGAGAGATGACAAGCTGCCCTGCCCTGATGCTCTGTCCCCCAGGTGCTGTATTGGGCACAGACTACATGCACCTCCTCAGCCTCTATCAGCACTTCCCACTTCCAGTCCACACCCACTGCAGGGGCTCACCAGTCACTTGCCCTGGGAATACCACCCCCTTTCTTTGGATGCCTCCATGCAGCCAGACTGCCCAACTGTCTGCCCAGAGTCTCTGCCACTTCCAGCTTGGAAGGAACAATGGGAAATGGGCTCTGGCAGCCTGACCAGTGGGACATGGGAGAAGGAAAGGGCTGAGCACAGAATCCCTCTCCTGCCTCTCACCCTGGGACCATGCTAAAAGATTATTTCTCTTTTTCAGACCTCCAGAAAAGGGTTGTGTGCTGAGTGGCTGCACCTGCTTAGTCTCTTTATGGTTCCTGGAGAGCATACTCACTGGTGCAGGACGCACCACTTATCTTCTCTGCGCATTACCTCACACATTCCCCTGGTTGCTTCCCTTCATCCTCACTGTCCCTTCCTTGAGTTTGTGCTCTCAAAGAAGCCACCATTACTTTAACCCTTGCCTCAGGCTTTGTTCTCTTGCAAAAATCATTGCTACTGGAAGTATTAGGTCATTAAATGTGAAACGTCTGATTTCAATGTCTGAATCAAAACTGTAGTTTACTATATCTTAAACAAGAAGCAGTACAATTAATCAAAGTATGCACCTAAAATATCAACACGGTTTTGTCATCTTAATGGTAGCTTGCTTATGCCAGCAGCAAAGAAGCCTGGAGAGGGAGTGGTGAGGAAATCAAAAAAGGCGTTTTCCACAGCTTGTTGAGAATTGAATATTTTTCCTTGCAAGAAGTGGTTCGAAGCCTGGAAGAAGTGGTAGTCAGTTGGTGCAAGGTATGGTGAATACAATGGTTGACAGAGTTTCCAAGTCCAGTTTCTGTAGTTTCAGCAGCGTTGTTTATGGTCAAGCGTTATCTTGCGAGAGGATTGGCCTATCTCTATTGACTAGACTTGGCTGCTTAATCACAACCATCCTCATCATTTTGTCCAACTGGCTGCAGTAGACATCTCCTGTAATTGATTGACCAAGTTTTATGAAGCTGTAGTGGATAATACCAGCGCTGGACCTCCAAACAGACACCATTAGCTTTTTTGGATGAATATTTGGTTTTGGACTGTATTTCAGCTCTTCATCAATTGTGCTGAACACAATGACATGTGTTGTGACTGTCAAAAAGAATCCATTTTTCATCATATGTAAATATGGTGTAGAAATGGTTTGCCTTTTTGTCATGACAGTAAAGAAAGGCAAGGTTCGAGACAATTTCTCTTCTGTTGCTTGTTTAATTCACGCAGTACCCATCTATCCAGCTTCTTTACCTTGCTAATTTGTTTCAACAGTCCAATATTGTTGGAATAGTAGTGTCAAACCTTGCTGCTAATTCACACTTAGCAGTTGAGATAGATTCACTTCCACTGCAGCTTTTAGCTCATCATTATCCACCTTGGTCTCATGTCACCTATGTAGCTCATTTTCAAGATTAAAATCACCAGAATGGCACTTCTCAAACCATCACTGTACTGTGCATTCATTAGCCACATCCTTCCCAAACACTTCATTGATATTTCGAGCTGCCTGTACTGCATTGGTTCCATGATGGAACTCATATGTGAAAATAACACAAATTTTTGACTTATCCACAGTTTCACAAAAATTGCTCTAAAAAAAACTTGAAAAATAATCACAAGCCAAAACATGTGTTTGCAAGACTGAGGATATACCTTCATAATAAAAATAAAACAGGAAGTGTCAAAGTGAATGTCAGAGATACCAACTGTCAAACTTAGTTTAAGTTTAAGGAAAGTTTAAGTTTTAGTTTAAGGAAATAGGACATTTCATAGTTCTAGAAAGCAGGCCTTCAAGATGGAATATTGAAGTTAGACTCCCCCATCTGTAAAGACCATGGGCTCTGTGGCTGGAGGCAAACAGGATGGTAATAATCCCTGGTGTGCAATTACTTAAGCTCACCCATGGATAACTGGGATGATGAGCATACAGAGGTCAGGATATTGGGAGACCAAGTAGCTGTGGCATGGAAATATTTGTAAGTATAAGGATTCCAGAGTAGGGTGGCTGCTTCTGATGATTAAGACCTTGCAAAAAGAAAATGGCAGGCTCAGGACAGCTAATGAGCAATGGAAGGCAAATTCAGAAAGTGAGAAGGCCTCTTTGGCCTTGCCAGTGTAAATGAGATCACCCAGCAGCAGCACAGGGATCACTTGGGAGCTTGTTAGAAATGTAGAATCTCTGGCCCCACCCCACACCTACTAAATTAGCATCTGCTAAGGACAGATGAGTATATGTGATGTGATTTTTGCTGGGAAAAAATATATATTTGTTAAAAATTTAAGAGTAAGTAGTAAAAGAATAGAAATAAAATAATAAAACTTCCAAACTAACAGAGACCCTCTGAAGCCCATCTGTGGAAGTGGAGCCTGGGTTCCACGGATGCCAGATGAAGCACCCTTGGCTCAGAGCCCATCCCTCAAAAGGAGAAGAGGAAGAAAAACTGCAGCTGGACGAAGTCATCCAAACACAAATGGCGTGTGTGACACAAATGAGCACGCAGACAAGCACAAGCAGGACTGGGGCTTCTTGACCTGGATATCAGGCAAGGGCCTCTAGGAGGGCAGGGGACTAGTAATCCCATGGACCTACAGTGTGCTAAGCAGCCTGCGTGCATTTTCTATACATTAACTCACTTAATCCACAAATAATCCTGCCAGGAAGACTCACTGCCCTCATTTCACAATGGTGAAGGTATCGACAGTAATCTGTGGTTTTCTTCTGCTGTCTCTCCCCTTTCTTCTGTCCCCCAGTGTTTCCCCAGGTCATTTTATGCTTCCTTGCCTTGGGGAAGTATGCAATGGGGCTCTCCCTAAATAAAAACTAGCCAGGAAGTACT